AGGCGACCACGTCGAAAGATGTGAGAAGGCATTTTCCTGCTGGACTCTCCCGGGCCTGCACGGGCTCATCCCGTCTTCGGTTTGACGGCTGCCCCCTCGCTGTTCCGCTGCGCGCTCCCACGCCGCCCTGATCAATGCCACCCGCTCGGACATCGCTGCCGAGAGTGGCGTGGGTGCGCGGAGTGTCCAGGATTCGGGTACGATTCTCTGGGACTGGCGACTTCCACGACGGACGAGCAGATGAGGTCGGAGGAGTGCGCCGCGCCGCCGATCCATCGCCGATGCGCGATGCGTCTCCGAGGCCCCGTCGGGGCGGCCCCCCGCCCCCCCACTCGCCGCTCCGCGAGCGCCTGCTCTCGCCAGGGGCGGCCGCTCTCCGAGACCTCCGGCGCCGCGATCAGAACAGAACAGGCTCGGCGACGAGCTGCGGCTCCGCTCGGGAGCGTGGAGGAGGCGCCCCGGGCCGGGGAGAGCTCGGGCACGGGACGCGAGAGCTCCCCCGGGTCACGCTGCCGTCGCGCGTTCGCGCTGCGCCACGCGCAACGAGAAAGAAGGCGCTTGGCTTCGCAATCTCGCGCCGCCGCACGGGGCCCACGGAGGAGGACGGCGCGGCGGACCAAGGCACGCAGCGTGCGAAGCGCGGTTGCCTTCACGCCGCCGCGGGCGACCTACTTAGTGTCCAGGGGGGCCTGCGTCACGCCACGCTGAGAGGAGCCGTCGGGCGGGAGGGGGGCTGGCGCAGGAGGTGGGCACCAGAGACATTGAACTCTAGACGGGCGCCGGGCACCGGGTGGCAACAAAGTTTGTGGCATAGGGTCGATGCGCCCGCCCAGAGCCATCCCCTCCTCTCGGCGCCCCTCACCCGCTGATCGCGGTGGCATTGGGGCGGGGCTCCAGGTCGCCTCTTCCTGGGATGAGGTGGGGGTCAATTAGGGATAGTGGGCCTCATTGACGACTGGAGACATGCTCTTTGTCAGAATGAGGCCGCGGAAGAATTCGGGTAGGCGATGCAGAATGATGCTCTTTGTCAGAATGAGGCCGCGGAGAAATGAGGCCGCCGCCGCAGTGCTCCCGGTAACGCTAGCTCGGAAGGCGATGCAGACGCCTCCCAACATGGCTTATCAGAAAGACCCAGATCTTCCGGTGATTGAAAAACACTCGCTTGAAAAACACTCGCTTGAAAAACACTTGCCTTGAAAAACACTCCCGTGAACACCCAAATCCTGATCGAGGAGCTCCCCTCGCTTGAAAAACACTTCGGCTCCGCGAGCCGCACGCATGCCGCGAGGCGTCGCCCACCAGCGCGCCGGCCTACCACGGGGCGAAGAACCCGTTGCTGTTGGCGAGGACGGAGCCGAAGAAGGCGATCGTCATGATGTTCACGTAGGTGTCCGGCAAGAAGTCGATCTCGCGGTTCGCGACGGCCACCGCCGCCGGCGACTCCTTGGTCCCCTTCCCTCCCAGCGCCGCGGCGCCGGCCGCGCCCGCGGCGCCGAGGCCCGCGGCCTTGCCGCCCGCCGCGCCCGCCGCCCCCGCCGCTGCAGCCTTGGCGCCGCCGGCCGCTGCCGCGCCCGCGACCGCCTTCGCGCCGCCGGCCGCCGCCGCGGCCTTCGCGGCCGCGGCGGCCGCCGCCGCCGCCGCCACGGGCTCCGCGCGGAGGGCGACCTTGGAGAGCCCGGCTTCCCCGGGGATCCCGACGAACGCCTGGTGGAGGGCGGCGCACGCCACGAGCGCGACCACGGCGCAGGGCAGGGCGACCGAACGCGTGCGGGCCATGCTGCCGGCTCTCTCTGGCTGCGGCAGGCCGGTGCCAGAAGGGGAGCCGACTGAGGAGGGGATGCTGGCCCAGGCGGGGAGGGGGGGCCATCGACCCAGACCCGACGAATGCATCGCCGACGGCTCGGCGGCAGGCCCGAGAGCAGGACCGCGCGGCCCTCGGCCAGAGCGGGGCGCCCAGGCCCCGACGGGCGACGGAAGGGCCATCGCGGGGTCGAGCTTCCCCCCCCCCCCGCCGGGCCGATCCGCCCCTCTCGCCGCCTCTGAAGACTGCGCGCGGGTCCGCGGGGGGAGGGGCCCCAGTCGGAGCCAACGAGCACGGGCGGAAAACAACTCGAGCCAAAACGGCTGATGACGGGTTAACTGACACCGCCACGGACCAGGAGCCGCCGACCTATGGCAGTGCTCTGCTGTGCGAGGCGCCAGCAGCGGTTAACGAAACACTGCCATAGGTCAGCCCCCCCTGGTCTACAGCGGTGGCAATGGAAACTAGGCCCACAAGCCGCGTCCCGCCTGCAGCGCTGACCAACAATTATACCCGGAGTGCAGTATCCCCAAACAGGGTTTTTAAACCCACTGCGGTTTCCAAGGTCGATTGCGTGCCCGTCCAGTTCGGGCTGGCATGGCATTTTAAAATCCGCCGACCCTGTCGGCGTGTGCGGGGGGCTTGGCCGTTCGAGTCGTCGTCTCCGTCGGTCGTCGCCTCCGTCGTCCCCTTTCCCTGCAGCTTCCTTCTCAAGCTCGTGAGCGAGAGAAAAATCTAGCAGTGTCGTAATCGAGTCGAAGGGAAGCCCCTTCCCTTTGATCCCTTCCCCAGGGGGGGGGGGGGGGGGTCCCGGGGGGGGTCCCGGGGGGGGGGTCCCGGGGGGGGTGGGGGGGCAGATTCGTTTTCCTCGGGCGGCCTAGAAACCTCGAAAACACTCCAAATGAGGTCCGAATGCCCAAGATGGCCCCCGAGACGGCCCAAGAGGGCCCCGAGTCGCCCAAAGATCGGCCGAAAACGCCCAAGATAGCCCCAAGACCGTCCAAGAAGCCTCCAAGACGTCCCAGGCCCCCTCCAAGAGACCCCCAGGAAGCCCCAAGAGGCCCCCACGAGGCTTCCAAGCGGCCCCTAAGAGCTTCCCAAGAGGCCCACAAACTACCCCCAAGAGGCCCCCAAGAGCGCGTCGTCGTCGTCGTCGTCGTCGCCATTCAGGGTCGGCGGCACCGGCCGTAAGGCCTTCGCAATATGCCTCCTCCTCCCCATCCTCCTCCTCCTCCTCCACCTCCTCTTCATTCCGAACGGCATCTCGGAGCCCAGAGTTTCGAGGATGTCTCCAGCGTAACGGGCTGGACCGTTGGGGCCACAAGAGCAGGAATAATCAACGAATCGACACTGGATGTGTATCAACTTGACACGTTCTGATAGAGAGGGGGCCTAGTAGGGCCTCCCGGGAGCCTCCTGGGAATCTCCTGGGGACCCCTGGGGCCTGTCCTGGGCGTCCTGCGGCCTCCTGAAGCTCTCTGGGGCCTCCTGGGGCTCCCAGGGGGGATATCTAACATGTGGTCTTCTGGGCCCCCAGGCTGGACCACCTCTTGCGCGGCATCTGGGAGCTCAGAATTGCGAGAATGTCTTGCGCGAAACGGGCCCGACCACCTTGCGCACGGCATCTCGGAGCTCAGAATTGCGAGGATGTTTCAGTCGAGACGGGCCGGACCACCTCGCGCAGGGCATCTCGGAGCCCAGGGTTGCGAGGATGTCTCCAGCGCAACGGGCTGGACCACCTGGCATCTCGGACCCCAGAGTGGCGACGATGTCTCGGGCGAAATGTGCTGCGAGGAAGTCTCAGGCGAAACGGGCCGGACCACCTCGAGTGCGGCGTCTGAGAGCTCCGAGTTGCGGGGGCCTCCTGGGGCCTACTGGGGCCTCCTGGTGACTTCCTGGGGCTTCCTCCTGGGGCCTCCTGTGGCCTCCTGGACCCCACCTGGGGCTTCCTGAAGCCTGTTGGGGCTCCCAGGGGGGGATATCATACATGTGGCCGTCGGGCCCCCCCCAAATGGGGGGGGGGCACAAGACCAGGAAAAATCAACGAATCGGCACCGGATGTGTATTAACTTGACACGTTCTGATAGAGAGGGGGCCTAGTAGGGCCTCCTGGGAGCCTCCTAGGAATCTCTTGGGGACCTCTGGGGCTTGTCCTGGGCGTCCTGCGGCCTTCTGAAGCTCTCTGGGGCCTCCTGGGGCTCCCAGGGTCCCAGGGGGGATATCTAACATGTGGTCTTCTGGGCCCCCAGGCTGGACCACCTCTTGCGCGGCATCTGGGAGCTCAGAATTGCGAGAATGTCTTGCGCGAAACGGGCCGGGCCACCTTGCGCACGGCATCTCGGAACTCAGAATTGCGAGGATGTCTCAGGCGAGACGGGCCGGACCACCTCGCGCAGGGCATCTCAGCTCAGAGTTGCGAGGATGTCTCCAGCGTAACGGGCTGGACCACCTCGCGCGCGGCATCTCCGAGGTCAGAGTTGCGACAATGTCTCAGGCGAAACGGGCCGGACCACCTCGCAAGCGGCATCTCGGAGCCCAGAATTGCTAGGATGTCTCAGGCGAAACGGGCCAGACCACCTCTCACACGGCATCTCGGGGCTCAAAGTTTGGAGGATGTCTCAGGCGAAACGGGCCGAACCACCTCGCAAGCGTCATCTCGGAGCCCAGAGTTGCGAGGATGTCTCAGGCGAAACGGGCCGGACCACCTCTCGCACGCCACCTCGGGGCTCAGAGTTTCGAGGATGTCTCCAGCGTAACGGGCTGGACCACCTCTCGCGCGGCGTCCCGGAGCGCAACTTTTCGAGGATGTCTCAGGCGAAACGGCCAATCCCGGCCATCTCAGCAGCGAGAATTGTGAGGATGTCTCAAGCGAAACGGCCCGGACCATCAGATTTTTGTGAGGATGTCTCTGGTCCCGTCTCCCTCGGCCCCATGTAGCTTCTATCACAACAGCACCCCGTCCAGCAAGCTGATTGGGGAAAAAAAGCCCGAGAGCGCCATGACAAGACCTCTGTCGACCCGATGTTCTCGAGCCGCCGAACCCAGCAGATCTCGACCTCTTCTTGCAAGGGCCTTATGGTTTTGCATCCCGCGTCCTTGGTTGGCTGTCCTGAGGTCCAAAACAGCTCTGCGAGGCGCAAAACGGTGCGGCCGAGCTCTGGACAGCCAGGCTGGCTGCCCCGACGATAATCACGAGGATCAACTGCGCACGAACCGCCCATCGTCAAAGTCTGCGGGGGGTCTTCGGAACGGGGCTCCGGCAGAGTAGGAGGACAACCCCCTCTCGTCCTCGCCTCTTCCTGGGAGGAAGGGGGGGAAGAGTTTTTGTCCGATCATGTTTCCCAGGTGCGCTGGCTCGGGAAGGCGAGAGACGCCGCTCAACATGACTGACCTTTCTGGATACGGATTTTCCTATGTGTATTGTGAGGGGGTGCCCACTCGAGGGCTCCCCTCGCTTGAAAAATCAGCCACCGCGCCTGCGCGGAGTTGGCGTGTTCGAACGTTCTTCTGTTGACTGGTGAGGTTGTTGGTAGTAATTTCTAGAGCCGACCCCGCCCCCTCCCTCGACGCACGCGCGGGTAGGACATCGGCCTCCCCCGAATGAATTGGATCCCCGGCATTCTTTTGGGCCTCAAGTCGGCCAAAGTGGCCGCCAAGACGGCGTCTAAGACAGCCAGGATGACACCAAGACGGTCCAAAACCACTCAAGAGGCTCCCAAGACGGACTCAAGACAATCCAAGAGGCCTCCAAGACAGCCCCCAAGCCCAAGAGGGCTCCAAGAGGCCCTCCAGGAGAGCCCGAGGATGCCCAAACCATTGATTTCCCTTAGGTGTCTGAAGAACTTATGAGGTTCTCGCCTGTTGGGGTTTGCTGCCGCCCAAGATGAGGCCTCCAAGATAGCTCCAACGCAGCCGAAGAGGCCCCTAAGAAGGCCCCGAGTCAGCCCAAGAGGCCCCCAAGAGGTCACCCAAAACGAGGCGCCAGGCACCAAGAGCCCCCAAATTCAACCAAGATGCCCCAAGAGGCTTTGAAGACCGATGAGGCCCCAAGCGGCCCCACGAGACCTCCAAGAGGCCCCCGAAGCGCCCAAGATGCCCCCCACGAGCCGCCAGGAGGCCCCAGGACCCCCCGAGAGGCCTCCGCAAGACCCCGAGAGACATCCCAAGAGACTCCGCGAGGCATCCAAGAAGCATCTGGCCCACGGAGGCTCCCCGAGCTCTCCTGAAGCGTCGTGCCTGGATGAGCTGGCGGGGACACGCGGAACCTCGATCGTCCAAATTCCTTCCTGCTGCGCTGTTGCTCAAGCGCGGCGGCGGGGCTCGCCGCAGGCAGCTGGATAATTCTCACGGGCCAGGGCTCCGCGAGCCTCCCGCGTGCCGCGAGTCGCCGCCCACTCAAAGAAAAAGAAGCTAACGCCGCGGCAGCTGGCGGGGCCTGGCGCCGCCCACCAGCGCGCCGGCCTACCACGGGGCGAAGAACCCGTTGCTGTTGGCGAGGACGGAGCCGAAGAAGGCGATCGTCATGATGTTCACGTAGGTGTCCGGCAAGAAGTCGATCTCGCGGTTCGCGACGGCCACCGCCGCCGGCGACTCCTTGGTCCCCTTCCCTCCCAGCGCCGCGGCGCCGGCCGCGCCCGCGGCGCCGAGGCCCGCGGCCTTGCCGCCCGCCGCGCCCGCCGCCCCCGCCGCTGCAGCCTTGGCGCCGCCGGCCGCTGCCGCGCCCGCGACCGCCTTCGCGCCGCCGGCCGCCGCCGCCGCCGCCACGGGCTCCGCGCGGAGGGCGACCTTGGAGAGCCCGGCTTCCCCGGGGATCCCGACGAACGCCTGGTGGAGGGCGGCGCACGCCACGAGCGCGACCACGGCGCAGGGCAGGGCGACCGAACGCGTGCGGGCCATGCTGCCGGCTCTCTCTGGCTGCGGCAGGCCGGTGCCAGAAGGGGAGCCGACTGAGGAGGGGATGCTGGCCCAGGCGGGGAGGGGGGGCCATCGACCCAGACCCGACGAATGCATCCCCGACGGCTCGGCGGCAGGCCCGAGAGCAGGACCGCGCGGCCCTCGGCCAGAGCGGGGCGCCCAGGCCCCGACGGGCGACGGAAGGGCCATCGCGGGGTCGAGCTTCCCCCCCCCCGCCGGGCCGATCCGCCCCTCTCGCCGCCTCTGAAGACTGCGCGCGGGTCCGCGGGGGGAGGGGGTCCAATCGGAGCCAACGAGCACGGGCGGAAAACAACTCGAGCCAAAACGGCTGATGACGGGTTAACTGACACCGCCACGGACCAGGAGCCGCCGACCTATGGCAGTGCTCTGCTGTGCGAGGCGCCAGCAGCTGTCAACAAAGCACTGCCATAGGTCAGCCCCCCCTGGTCTACAGCGGTGGCAATGGAAACTAGGCCCACAAGCCGCGTCCTGCCTGCAGCGCTGACCAACAAAAAGAGCCCGAGAGCGCCATGACAAGACCTCTGTCGACCCTATGTTCTCGAGCCGCCGAACCCTGCAGATCTCGACCACTTCTTGCAAGGGCCTTCTGGTTTTGCATCCCGCGTCCTTGGTTGACTGTCCTGAGGTCCCAAACAGCTCCCCGAGGCGCAAAACGGTGCGGCCGCGCTCTGGACAGCCAGGCTGGCTGCCCCGACGATAATCACGAGGATCAACTGCGCACGAACCGCCCATCGTCAAAATCAACGGGGGGGCTTCGGAACGGGGCCCCGGCAGAGTAGGAGTGCCAGCGCGACGCGCACTGAAAAAATTCCTTCTGTTGCATATGCGGGAGACGTTCTTTGTCCAGTCGTGCCGCCATCCGCGCCGAAGCCGCGTCGCATCCATGTCGAATCCACGTCGAAATCGCACCGAATCCGCGACGAATCCTAGGCGAATCCGCGTCTGGCCCGCGCCGCTCACAAGAGAACACATCAAACAATTCCCCTGCCCCGCGTTGTAACAAGTCCCACCCTTGCCTGTTGACTGGATGTGGCCGGCAGTCTGCAGAGAGAAAGACGAAGCACTGATGAAGATCATTGTTGGGCGGAGCCTCGGATGTGAGACTCGTGTCAAACTCGTTTTGTGGTACTCCTGGACCACTGCTTGGGCCATGCTTGGGCCCTCTGGAGCCTAGTATGCTGCTGCGGCGTCCCTGGAACATGGGAAGCCCTCCCGTCCACCTCCTGGCCCTCTTGGGGCGGCTGTTGGAGGTCCTCGTGGTGGCCTCTTGGGCCCGTCTTGGACACATCCTGGGCCCTTCTGGGGCCTGTCTTGAGCGATCTTGGGACCAGATTGAGCCGATCGGAAGCCGGAAAGTGATACGGCCAAAATCTCTAACATTCTCTAGGCGTTTGAGTATGACTGGCCTCACGGGGCCATCCTGAGGAGGCCCCGAGGCCACTTCGGGCCGTCCTTTGGTGGTAGTATCGAACTTGGACCATCACGTGCTATCTTGTATGTCGCCCTGCATTGCCTTGCCGATGTCAAGACGGGGGCCGCACGCGCTGGTGCTGCGGACGAGAGGCTCGCAAGAGGTCGCACCAGACCAAGAACATATCGAAACTTACATTGAGGTGTATCACTAGAACCACGCGCGCGCGCTTAGATTCTAGTCTTAGCTGCGCCGCGTGCGACGGCTCTCGCTTTTGCTTGTCTGATCGGCGACTGTGCGACGCCCGCTGCATGGAAACATTACAGAGCCTACATCCACCTCGGCCCCCTCCCCCTCCCTCTCCCTCGTCATCGTCCTTCTCCTCCTCCTCCTCCTCCTCCTCCTCCTCATCGTCCTCGTCCTCGCGATTCTGCTCCTGCTCCTGCGCTCCATCCTCATTCCCTCCTAAGATTCGCATAGCGTCCCCCCGCATATGTCGACTCACCCCTCAAACAGATCGTGTCCCACAGGGAGCGCAACTGGCAGGCCCAGAGACAGGATTCGCATCCGCTCCACCCACAGCGGGACACCCCTGACAGGGATTATGGCTCCACCTACGGCCCCAGAGAGAAAGTTCGCATGGCGTCTTCGCGCCCACACCCCTCACACGGATCGCGCCCGTGGGAAACTCCACCGACGGCTCCAACGGGACGGGTCGCATGGCGTCCCTCCGCACATGTCGCCACACCCCTACCGCGGATCGTACCCTGCAAGCATATCCATCTATGGCGCCCATCGGCAATTTCGCATAGCGTCCCCACGCCCGTTTCGGCGCCGCTACACGCGGATCGCGCTCCACAAGGAGCTCCACCGACGGCCTAGGGTTCGCATAGCGTCCCCCCGCATATGTCGACTCACCCCTCAAACAGATCGTGTCCGACAGGGAGCGCAACTGGCAGGCCCAGAGACAAGGTTTGCATCTGCTCCACCCACAGCGGGATACCCCTGACAGGGATTCTGGCTCCACCTACGGTCCCAGAGAGAAGGTTCGCATGGCGTCTTCGCGCCCACACCCCTCACACGGATCGCGCCCGTAGGAAACTCCACCGACGGCTCCAACAGGACCGGTCGCATGGCGTCCCTCCGCACACGTCGCCACACCCCTACCGCGGATCGTACCCCGCAAGGATATCCATCTATGGCACCCATGGGCAATTTCGCATAGCGTCCCCACGCCCGTTTCGGCGCCGCTACACGCGGATCGCGCTCCACAAGGAGCTCCACCGACGGCCTAGGGTTCGCATAGCGTCCCCCCGCATATGTCGACTCACCCCTCAAACAGATCGCGTCTCACAGGGAGCGCAACTGGCAGGCCCAGAGACAAGATTCGCATCTGCTCCACCCACAGCGGGACACCCCTGACAGGGATTCTGGCTCCACCTACGGCCCCAAAGAAGGTTCGCATGGCGTCTTCGCGCCCACACCCCTCACACGGATCGCGCCCGTGGGAAACTCCACCGACGGCTCCAACAGGACGGGTCGCACGGCGTCCCTCCGCACACGTCGCCACACCCCTACCGCGGATCGTACCCCGCAAGCATATCCATCTATGGCACCCATGGGCAATTTCGCATAGCGTCCCCACGCCCGTTTCGGCGCCGCTACACGCGGATCGCGCTCCACAAGGAGCTCCACCGACGGCCTAGGGTTCGCATAGCGTCCCCCCGCATATGTCGACTCACCCCTCAAACAGATCGCGTCTCACAGGGAGCGCAACTGGCAGGCCCAGAGACAAGATTCGCATCTGCTCCACCCACAGCGGGACACCCCTGACAGGGATTCTGGCTCCACCTACGGCCCCAGAGAGAAGGTTCGCATGGCGTCTTCGCGCCCACACCCCTCACACGGATCTCGCCCGTAGGAAACTCCACCGACGGCTCCAACAGGACGGGTCGCACGGCGTCCCTCTGCACACGTCGCCACACCCCTACCGCGGATCGTACCCCGCAAGGATATCCATCTATGGCACCCATGGGCAATTTCGCATAGCGTCCCCACGCCCGTTTCGGCGCCGCTACACGCGGATCGCGCTCCACAAGGAGCTCCACCGACGGCCTAGGGTTCGCATAGCGTCCCCCCGCATATGTCGACTCACCCCTCAAACAGATCGCGTCCCACAGGGAGCGCAACTGGCAGGCCCAGAGACAAGATTCGCATCTGCTCCACCCACAGCGGGACACCCCTGACAGGGATTCTGGCTCCACCTACGGCCCCAGAGAGAAGGTTCGCATGGCGTCTTCGCGCCCACACCCCTCACACGGATCACGCCCGTAGGAAACTCCACCGACGGCTCCAACAGAGGGTCGCACGGAGTTTCCTCCGCACACGTCGCCACACCCCTACCCGCGGATCGTACCGCAAGGATATCCATTATGGACCCTATCGGCAATTTCGCATTAGCTCTCCCACGCCGTTTCGGCGCCGCTACACGCGGATCGCGCTCCACAAGGAGCTCCACAGACGGCCTAGGGTTCGCATAGCGTCCCCCCGCATATGTCGACTCACCCCTCAAACAGATCGCGTCCCACAGGGAGCGCAACTGGCAGGCCCAGAGACACGATTCGCATCTGCTCCACCCACAGCGGGACACCCCTGACAGGGATTCTGGCTCCACCTACGGCCCCAGAGAGAAGGTTCGCATGGCGTCTTCGCGCCCACACCCCTCACACGGATCACGCCCGTAGGAAACTCCACCGACGGCTCCAACAGGACGGGTCGCACGGCGTCCCTCCGCACACGTCGCCACACCCCTACCGCGGATCGTACCCCGCAAGGATATCCATCTATGGCACCCATGGGCAATTTCGCATAGCGTCCCCACGCCCGTTTCGGCGCAAATAGGCCTCTGTGGGCGCGCTCGCGCTGCGGCCACCCCATTCACGCGGATCGCGCCCCGCATGGAACTCAACGTGCCTACGCGCGCTAGCTCCATAGTGCCCCCTCATCCGGTCTGCCCCGCGGCGCGCAGCTTTTGAAAGCAGAGCCGCGCCCTGCGCTGCACGCAGCTGCAGAAGGGTGGGCCCTTCGACAGTCCAAGTGATTTCGCTGTTATCTTACATGCGCACATGCATGAAACCAGACATACAACCGTGCATGCATACATGCGTACGTACATGCATACACGTACATACACGTAGAAGCAAAACCTGCGCCACTCAGGCGGCGCCCCAGGAACGGGCCTAGGTTGTAGACCAGAGGCCTCTCGCAGATTTATAGTAAAGTTTCGTGGCAAGTCTCTCGGAGGCCCGTTTGGGGCCTCTTGGGGGTCTCTTGGGGGCTTCCTGGGGGCCTCCTGGGCGCCTCTTGGAAGCCTTTGGGAGCCTGTTTCGAGGCGTCTTGGGCTCCCGTGGGGACCGCTTGGGGGCCTGCTGGCTGCCTCGGGGGTGATCTTGGGGCGGACGGCTCGAAACGGTGGCTCGAGTTTCCTCTCTTGGGTCCATCTCGTCCCCTGTTGGGGCCCTCTTTGGCCACGCGCGCGCGTAGCTTCCAGCAAGCAGCAGCCCTTCACAAGCTCGCAGTGTCACTGCAATAGTCACCCACAGAGGCTTTGAACGTAAGGTGAAGCAATGTCGACAACCTGGACCGAGCACAGACGCGTAACCGACAAGGACGCTTCCATACGACTCAATGCGAAGAATGCAAAACCATGAAACAACTACAATCGATACAATGCCAGCGCAATGCAGCACATTGCCATGGGAACAGGATGCGAGGACAATGGAACTCAAAGTATTGCAATGACAAGTGAGCGAAGCGAGTGCAAGGCAATGCGATGAAGCACAGCTCAAAGCATGTGGGCAAAGGTAAGGTGAAGCACGACACTATACACATGGA